AAAATATTAAAAAAAAAAAAAGGGAACCAGAGCCCCTTTTGCTGGTGAAATGGCCCCTGACAGGCTTCCATACCCCTCTTACCCTGGGCTGCCACCCAGTCCTGCACCTTGCACCACCTCAGGGGCACCCAGGCCCCTAAGGGAAGTTAGAGCCCAGGGCACAGAAGGGTAAGGCAGGTACAGTGGAAACTCATGCATTAGTTGCTGCAGAGGCAGGAGTCAGTTCAGGATCTTGCTCTTTCCAGGGAAGACAGCTGGCTCTATCTACTCCACCTTTGCTGTGTCGTCCTTAAGACTGTAGAGCCTGTCAGTTCAAACAAGTCCAGAGCTTTGTGGGAGGGTCCTCAGTCCTTGGAGCGGTCCTGTCAATATCCTTTCCTGCCCTTCTTTCCCCCAGCATCCCCTCACCCCGGGGACTTTGGCAAGCTTCTCCTTTGGCCGGCTGACCCTGAGCCCAGAGCTGAGTCAGTTCCGTCATCAGTTCCCAACCAGGGCAATCTGAAGAGAAGTCTCAGTCCCACGGGTCACAGAGAGGTCACACCACCAAATATGAGAATATTTTTTTAGTTCCTGCAGTGCTTTCTCAGCTGTGTGATGTCTGACAGCTCACCCAGGTGGCGCCCTTAGTCTCAACCACTCCCTAGCAGCTTAATAGGGAGGCCCCTGGCTTGGGAGAAGACACCCAGCAGCTGTTCCCAATGGGCTCTAATGGCCCCAGCTGGGCTGGAGAACCTTTGCTGAGTTCTGCCCCAGCCTGGGAACAGACTTCCTGTGTCCCTTTAGTCAAGCCCCTGCTGTCTCCTGTTCTCATCCACCCATTTGGATGCTGTGTAGCAGGCAATCTGGGAGTTACCAGCCCAGGCCCTGGCAGTTCCTCTTTGATTTCTACCATTTCTCCTTCTACTGGTGGGCCAGGATATACCTGCTTCCCCTGGAGACCTTTGCTTGGCTATCTCAAGATCTCATTGTCCAGGCCTGTGACTGTTAAGGTTTAGAGTGAACTGTAATGCCCTGCTGTGTCCCAAGAGCAACCAGTTGCCAAAGCAGGAGTCTGAGCCTGTTTCTGGCCACCAAAGCCAACTTTTTGCCACCCACCCAGAGCAGGAAATGAGTGAGTGCTCCCACTACTGGCAAGCACAGGCCTCTACCCCTCCCAGCATGGGAGTGTCTACAGGCTGTTTTCTGGCCTGAGTTGGGGGTACAGGAGTACAGCAGAGTGCTTGCTAGTCCTTACCTCCATCATTACTATCATGGATGCCAGAGCAGCTCCTTGGCAGGTCCTGCCACTGTAAACAACACATTTCCTTCCCTGAGAGAAGGAAAGAGAGGGAAAAGAAAGCCAAACTTGTTGGGAAGCAAGAACAACATGTCAACACGAAGAGCAAACAAGGCCTGAGACAAAGTGTGGATTGTCGTACCAGGGGAAGGAATGGGCATTGTCAGCCATTCAGAAATCTGTTGACCACAGCCCTTGGAATGAGTGTCAGACTTGCTGTGGCTTGGTCCCTGCCTGCAGCATCGCTGGGCCTGCCCAGGACAGGCACTGACAAAAGATCACTTTTTAAGTTCCTTTCTGGAACTTGCTGGAGCCTGGGGAATTGCAAGGTTGTTGACAATACTCCCTCATTGCCAGCCAGCCAGATTGTTGGACTGCACCACACCACATGGCCTGTGGTATGGACCCACTGGAATAAGCTCCTGGCCTAGACCCTCTCTGGCCAATGGCACCTTCACAGCTCGGTCAGGTAGTAGTCAGGCTGTACCTACCAACTGTTGGTTTAGCCTGTGCCCAATCCCCCTTCTCTGGGACCACTTTCCTAGCACTTCCTCCCCAATGCTCTCCTGCGGTGCCTTTGGAAAATGCCTTGCCCTGAGTATTCTGGTTCTAGAGGTCATGACATCATACCCAGCATTCCCATGTTTTCAAAAGCCTTCCAGGGGAACCAGCTCCCAAAAGTAGTCTTTGGATCTCTACACATGCACCATAGCAGGCACACACTGCTCCTACACATGCAGACATGCATACACACACACACACACACACACACACACACACATATGCAATAATAATAATGATAATAAAAATTTTTTTTTAAGTTAATGGATAGGGCTGGAGAGATGGCTCAGTGGTTAAGAACACTGGTTGTTCTTGCAGAAGACCCAGGTTCGAATCCCAGCACCCACATAGCAGCCAACAACTGTCTGCAACTCCAGTCCCAGGGGATCCGAAAGCCTCTTCTGACCTCTGTGGGCATTGCACGACATGGGTGCACTTACCTTCATGTAGGCAATACACACATACACATTAAAAAAAAAAAAAAAAAAAAAAAAAAGAAGTTAATGGAGCCGGGCATAGTGACCAGGAGGCAGAGGCAGGCGGATCTCTGAGTTCAAGGGCCAGCCTGGTCTACCTAGTGACTTCCAGCTGGGGCTACAGGGAGACCCTGTCTCAAAAAAAAAGACAAAAAAATAATAATTTTTAAAAAAGGTTGACCAAAACTTTGGAAAACATTTGGGGGTCTTTCCATTTGGCCTGGTTGTGTTTATGTGTATGTAGCAGATGTGTATCTATGACACTCAGGTTCCAGCCTGTTGAAATGAGCAGATGGCCAAGATATGTATGGCTGGCTGGGGTTGGGATTACTGTTCTTCCAGGCCATTGGTAGAAGGAAAGCTATCATCAAAGAGTCAACCACAGCTATACAAGCCTCTAGAGGTGGAATACCTTCCCCAGTCAGGAAAAGAGCATCCTCCATCACCACCAGGTAGGCATTGTTCCTGACTGTCTCCTCTCTCAGCACCCATTCATCTGCAAATTGAGAACAAGAGTCACCTCCCTTGCAGGTCCACCATAGGATCCAATGAAGAGATGCAGGAGTCAGGCATTTAGCACAGAGCCTGTAGGGCAGTACTGTGCCTCTGACTGGTCCTGGCCCTTTTCACTGTTAGGGTCCTTGCCATTCCCATTATTATTGTAGCTGAGGCTGGCTGCTCCAAGAGGACAGTGAGCTTCAGGAGCTCCAAGCACAGGCTTTTCCCACAGTGGTATCACAACGGTGAGTCTGTTCCTTGTGAGAGCTCCCAGGAGCTGCTCCATCACAGCTGTCTATCTTCAGTGTCCTGTTGATAAGATCTGTTAACATTCTCAGCTCCAGCTCTGAAGTATACAAAGAACAGGGCCTGTTTGTTCAATCCTAGCTTCTAAGGTTTAACTCCCAAAGGAAATTAAATTAGGTGCCTGGAGCTATGACAGTCTGTCATGTTTCTTTGCAGAGAATGTCACCCTTAATATCATGCAGATCTCATGTATAATTTTTCCCCTTTAATTCTTTTAAAGTAATGGTGGCTTCCAGCAGAAACCAGCAAATCACCGAAAGTGAAAACGGAGGAGCAACTAAGATTTGTCCCCATTTTGGGTCTCGTCACCCCCTCCCCCAGCCAAGTACAAAATTAAGTCCACACACAGATGGCGCCACACTTGGTGGCAGCTCTGCTAAAAGCCTCCAGAACTCACCAATTCCAGACTTTTGACATAGGAACTAGCTTAGGAATGGACCCAGTGTTAGTGGCCTCACCTTTCCTGTTGTTGAAAACTCCCTTAGGATTCTCCTTGGGTGGCCACAGTCCCTGGAAGCCCTCCCCCACCCCATCTCACCCCAGCACTGGTAGTAGTCCCAGATTTATTTACCATTCTGGCAGAAAGCCCCTCCCTTCACATTATTTGTGGGTTAGAAATGAACCCAGCCTGGCCTGCACTGGAGCCATTGTAATGTAACTTGGTTTGAGGTATGCTTGTGTTTGTGCTAGCATTTGCAGAGATGGCAGCAAGCCCCGGAAATGCCAAAAATATGAATGTGACTTTTATATTACTCAAGCAGACTGGTGATAACCAGGGGAGAAACTCTGGACCTGGGGGGAGGGGACCCATGGAATAAGAAGGGGAAGAGGAGGGCTCAGGCCGCAGAAGAGAGGGCCAGATGTGACTGGGTGTGGCTGCAGACCAGAAAGAGCCAGCCTGACTGGAAAGAGCCCGCCACCCCCTCTGGACCCCTCTGGCGAGGAGCTTGCTGGAGGGAAAGGAATGGGTAACCTGGGGTGGGTACTCCCCTGGGCTCTCTTTGCTCTCTTTCTTTTTCTCTCTCTGACTCCTGTTCCTGTCCTCATTGATTCCTAGAACAGGATGTGGGCCAGTAGTCAGAGCTGTCTGCTCCAGTCTGCCCCTGTCCTGGGAAGGAGGGTTCTGAGGGTCAAGAGAACTGCTAGTTGGGTGGGAGGTGAGCTGCCTTCAGGCCTGGCCCTGGAAGAATGAATGAGTCAGTATTCTCTGTCTAACTGCTGAGGACTTGAAGGCAGTATCTCAGACACTAAGCTTCAGGCCAAGACATGACTGGCATAGGGGGTTTTGGCCTCACAGGGCATGTCCTATAACCTGTCTGTACCTCAGTTTCCCCATCTGTAAGGAGACTGAAAGATGTGAGCAATCAGCACAGAACCTGGTATGTTTATTTTCCTTCTCACTTGTCACCACCCTGCCATCAGCTTCCTGCCTTGTTGCACTCACCCTTCAGGGTCCCCTGTGTCCCTCCTTGCTCTCCTTCCATTTTCTGCCACATCACTTTACATCACAGTATGGAAACTTCTGCCACTACCAGAGTGGACAACTCCCAAGGGAAACATAATAGGTATTTTCTCAAGTTCTCAAGTCCCAACCTTTTCACAGGGAGGGTCTCCCTGAGAGGATCCCCTCACTTTGGTTTGCACCCTATTGCTGTTCTGCTCTATGCACTGCCCAGGGTATGCCAGAGCAGTGGAGAGGGTCCCTGGACAAGGACAGGGAGGAGGGAGTAAAAGGGGCCAGAAACTAGAAGGGCATGGGTGAGCTCCACCTGACCCAGCATAGCAGCCTGACCAGAGCCACAGGTTGAGAAAGTGGCCCATCAGATTGAGGAAGGCCTGGCATTAGAGCCCTGAGTTCTGTGGACATTCCTATTGGCTGAGCAAACTTGTTCAGTGCATAAGCATGGTGGTTATGCCAGCCAAATAGCGGGGCCAGACTGTCTTTAACAACAAAGCATGTAGTAACAGGTACCAGACTAGAGCAACAGAGTGGAAAGGTGGAGGGGACCCAGAGGAAAGGCTTCTCGAAAGTCTGAGAGTTTAGCTGCTGACCTAGGCTTGCAGGGGCTGTGTGTGGAAGGGGATATTGAAAGTCCCATCCCCCTTTGTAAAATGACAGGTCCTCAGTCTCCAAATTCTCCAGCTCACACTTTATCTTTTGTCTGTTAGCCATCAAACACACACACGCACACACACACACACACACACACACACACACACACACACACACACACACCCTTCCCCTAGTGCTACAGATGGAACCTAAAGCCTTGCACTCTTAGCCCTTCCCTGGCACATCCTGATTCCAGACAGGATAACAAATTCCAAACAAATTTCCAAACAAAGCCAAGCAAATTCCTTTTGTCCTATAGGGTTGGAAGAAAGGGGTGGGAACATGTGAGCCCAATCAGGCTATAAGGACCTTGGCAACAACTTTGCCAGGGCCTTCACCTTTCCTGCTCCCTCTCTACTGCCGTGCAACCTTCAGAAGGCTGAACAACCATAAGAGGTTGGCCCCCACAACCCTCCACCAGTTTCCATTTCCCTTCTAAAGCCAGATCTTCCCTCCCTCCCAATGTCAACCCTTTCCCCACTATCCTTTGAACCCATCTTCCTCTGCCCCTCTCTGGCCAATATTGCAGGCAGGTGGTGGTAGGAGGTATTGGGTGCAGGTAGTTTGTTGGGAAACCTCAAGTGTTTCCCTCTGTCCCTAGAACCAAACCATTGCTAGAAGAAACATCCCTAGCTTGGCAGTTGGCAAAAAGACCATAGATTTTTAAAAGTAAAAGTCTGCCTTTTGCCTTCTTCCCAGATACTGTTAACCGAAGAGTTTGTAGAGAAAATGTTGGAGGACTTAGAAGATCTGACTTCTCCAGAGGAAGTAAGCCTGTTTGATACCTCCCTGCTCCAATAGCGTGTGTCTGCTCTGCGTGTGTGTGTGTGTGTGTGTGTGTGTGTGTGTGTGTGTGTGTGCACGCGCGCATGAGTATCTACAGGCTACCTTTTGAAGTGTAGAAATAGGCTGGAGAGGAGCCCTTGAGAATGTTAAATGGCTTTATTTTTCTTCTGTTTCCATGAACCACCACGGTCACCTTCCCCACCCCCACCCTTGTAAGGACACCCAGCAAACCCTCTGAATTGCCAGCTCTTGAGAACCTCATTGAAGAAGCAGCCAGGGCCTTCAGGCTAGTACAGTTCTCCCCAGCCCCTGCTGTTCCCTGGCAGGTTCTGAACAGAAAGCCCATGTCTGCTGCCAGAGAACATTCCACTGGGGAGTTCTAGTGGGCAGAAGGGGACTCCTGCTCTTGTCTTGGGCCACCCAAGAGCCATATTCCCTTCCTTCTCCAGCCATAGCTTGCCTTTCTTAGCCTCTTCCGGGCTAGCTCAGAACCTGAGGAACTGGCAGGCCAGGTAGGGTTATGCCTTCCCTTGGCTCCTTTTCTGAGGTACAGGAATGGAGTTCATAATCCCCTTTGTTTTAGTTCCTTGTTCCTGGTATCCTCATTTGTGGGGACTTACCTCATTCTGGAAAGTCCCTTCCCCTCCCCCTGCATCCTACTAAGCAGCACCCTGCCAGCAGGCAGGAGGGATCCAAGCCCTCCTGGCCCTAGTGCCCCATGGGCTAGTGGAACATTAGCAAGCGGCCCAGGTCTCTGGAGAACCTTTGGGCCCTCCCCGCCTGTGGCAGAGACTGACCCCTTGCCCCATCTGCTGGGAAATGTGCTTGAGGCAAAAAGAGCTTCTTTACCTCCCAGGGGCCGGGCAGCCATGTCCAGCTGCCAATTCTTCCAGGGCCAGCACAGGATGCTGATGTTTAAGAGGTTGAAGAGAAGGACTCGTGTAGACAGGAACTCCTCAGATGTGGTCATCTCAATTAAGCAGTATCTTGTCTGCCCACCACCCCCAGGGATCGAGCTTGATCAATTAATCATTTACGTATTCCAAAGTTATCAAGCACCCAATCTCTGCCAGCCAGTCACCCTCACAAATCACTGTCTCAGAGGCCCAGCTCTCCATTCAGTCAGGCCGGAGTCAGCTGCCCAGAAGTGCTTCCGGAGAGGCCTTGTCACACTGGGATGACACTGTGCCAAGCTGCTGCTTTGAGCTTGGGTGTTGAGGGGATGGGAGCGGGACAGCCTAGGCAAGAGGGACAGGAGCCAAGAGGAGCTTAGGAAAGTAGGTCACTAAAAATTACTCCTTTTTTGCTTTCCTGTCCAGAGGCTATCCCCACACCCTGACCCACTCTCTACTTTGTCCTGGCGTCTACAGTCCCCCATGAGAGGGAGGGCAGAGGGAGCCAGCCAGGAAGTGTCAGGTTCGTCCACCTACAGCCCAGCTCCAGGCAGGCTAGAAGACTGTTCTCTCTTCTTCCTCCTGTCCCTGACTTGTAGCCTAGCCCACAGACAGTAGGATTTGTAAGAGCTTGACCACTGACTCCAAGTCAGTGAGTATTTATTGGATACCAAGCTGTGTGCCAGGCTACATGTAAGGTCCTAGAACGCTGAAGGAATAAGATGTCAGCGTCTTCCCCTCTCCCAAGCAGAAGACCCCAGGTGAGTGGAAGAAATAAAGCTACAAGCCTGTCATTGATTCCTAAAGTGGAAGACCTTGGCTCTCCTCAGCCATTACTGGAATCACTCAGATCATTCTGGGAGCAGACGAGAATGTGAAGGGGGCAGTGGTTAGTGGAGGGTTTCTTCTGAGGATGCACCCAAACCACACTGGTCCTGTACCTCTGCTCCCACCAGGGCCACACTGTAGGTGTGACTTGGGGCTAAACTAGAGCCTCCCTTCTTATGGACCTGTCAGTAAAATCTGTGGCATTCCAGGATCCTTCCCACACCAGCCTCAGAAAGAGAAGCAATGACAATGACAGACCTCTTCCCTCTAAGTTACTCCCAGCCCTGTCCCCTGTCCTCCAGCCCAAAGGCCTCAGGGAATAGATTCCTTACATGCTTGTGGCTGGAGGCAGAACCTAGGAAGTGAGCAGGAGGGAGGTCAGTACCATCAGAGAGCTAGGAAACATGCCTCCTCTGACCTGATTAGCTATTGGCAGTGCAAGAGCAAAGAAGGGGTGAGGGAATACTAGCAACTGACTCCAGCCACTGCCTGGGTCTAGCATTTGAGAGGTATCCAGTAGCCTTTCTTGCCCTCAGCATCCTAGGGACAGGTTCTGGCCAGTATCCTGCTTTCTCTGGGCATTCTCTTAGACAGCAGTGGAGTCTTTTAACCATGTGCACTCTGGATCTGTGCTTGCTTCTTCCACAGTTCAAACTTCCCAAAGAGTACAGCTGGCCTGAAAAGAAGCTCAAAGTCTCCATCCTCCCTGATGTGGTATTCGACAGTCCACTGCACTAGCCTGGGCTGGGCCCTGCAGGGGCCAAAAGGAGCCCAGCTGCTCCCAGTGACTTCCAGTGCAACAGCTGTGTAAAGGAGATTCCTACAAATAAAAGGACAAGTGTGAGGATGACTACAGAGTGCCACACCCTGGCCCTATGGAATGCCACGTACAGACCTCACCTCAACTCCAGCCCAGGGGCCTTGCTTCTAGCTGGCTGAGCCCATATGATCAGGCCCTGTATCCTACAGGGCCAGTGAGTCTGTGAGGTGGCACCTGCAAACCGTCCCCTCCTGTTGTGTCACAGGTTCTGGTTGAGGATTGAATGATATGCTCCTGGGAAGAGACAGGCCTCAGCCTCACCCACCCCAACAATGCAGCCCAGTGTGCAGAGCGTACCTGTGGATGTGCTGCCCAGCTCAACCCTAACAAGCCTTTGCTGCACCAGCCATGGAACAATTCCTCCCGTCATGATTGCTTTACTCCTTCCTTATGGCGTAGGAACCAGATGATATTTTTATTGCTTGGCAAAGATGGTCCAGAAGCCATGTATATAATGATTTTTAAACAGAACTTTATTCCTAGATGAACTTTATCATTCTCTTAGACAGGGGTCTGGGGACTGTCTCCCCTGCATCCTCTGCCAGAAAATGTGCCTGGTGCTGCCTGCCAGCTCTGTACCCTGGTAGAACCTGAGGCATGGGAGAGCCAACACACTCTCCATGCAGCCTTGCGTCCAGTTTCACTATGGCCAGGAAGGCGTGCCACTGTCTTCGAAGTAAACTGGGCTTCTCCAAGGTTCTGGTGACTTTAGGGACTTAAGGATATGGTGGTCCAGACTTGTCTTCCAGCTCTTTTCCACCCCGCCAGTCCTGCCAAGGAGAGGGCCAAGCCGACTGCCTCCCAGACCATTCCCCATCTTGCCACTTAGGGCCTGGGCCTCCAGCTCTTTGATTACCCCATTCCCTTTCCTCATCTCCTGGCTTCCCAGCCCCCCCAGAATGCAGGATTCTAGCTTATTAAAAACTGAAAAATCAACCTCTCAACATCTCTTTCACTCCAGTTTTGCTGACACCGCTCTCTGCTGCCTTTGGCCTCCCCATATCCATTCTCTACTCATCTTTCACCCATGTTTCTTTTCCTGCAGCCTGACCCCTTGTGGGCCTCAGCCTCTCACCCCCAGTACTGTAGATCTGTCGGCCTTCTAGAAGCCAGTCTGTCTCTGGTCATAATAATTTGGGGGCTGCTCTTGAGGAATCTCCCACTTGTGACCTGGAGTCAGCAAGCCTCATTCCTGCACTCCTGCCTCCCACTCTAGGGACTTTTGTTCATCTTTTAGGTTTAATCCTCTCCATAGCAAAGTCACTTTGTTAGGGACCTTGCAAGGGTTCTGCTCCGTCTTCCTCCACCACCCACACAGGTACCACCAGAGTACTCCAGGAGGTGAACAGCCCCCGGAAGAGAGATCTAGCTAAAGAACTGCCTCCAGGGTCATGGCTGGGCTCTCTAGGGAGCAGAACTTGGGCCTCCAAGGAATGACTGGCCTGGCCCTTTCTACATACCTCAGGGCTATCTCTTTAACTTCAAGCTCAGCACTTCAAGGCAGATCCACCTGGAGCATCTGGGAGAAGCTGGCTGCAGGCTCCCATCAGCCAGATACAAGCCTCTCTGGAGCGGATACCATGCTGCTCTGGGACTTTTCCACAAGGACATGCCCTGGCCAACACCCACCACAGCAGCTCTGCCTTTGAAGTTCTTGTCTTCTGAAATTTTATGGCCAATTTATGCTATCAGTTTGCTCCCGTTCCTCACCATCTTGACCAGTGTTTCACCCCCAATTCTCTCTTCCTGGAGACCTGCCTAAGGCCCTCCTGCCGTATTGTGCCATACCTCCATTTGCTTGTTTAGGGGTAAGGATACATGTTCTGAGCTGAGTTTTGCCCTCAGTATGAGAGGCACCTGGTCAACAGGTGCCCCACAAACCGTAAGGTTTTAGCAGACTGATGGTTGGTGCCACCTGTTTGGTGGCCCCATTTTTGGAGAGCCAGGGAAGAAGCAGTAAGCTGCAGATGAGAAGCCCAGAAGGCCTGGGGTCTCTTCCTCCCTTCACCCTGTCAGGAACCTCATCACTCTTCACCATCTAAGATCCTGCTGGGACCAGGACCTGTCATTTCCCACAGTGCATATTTCTCCTGTCTCTGCCAGCTCTAACCATGCCTCCTATATCAGGGAGGAGATCTGCCATTAAGCTGCTGGCTAGTAAGGGTCCCTGACTTATGATCAAACCAGGCTGACCTTGTTCTGGCACATGATGGGTACTCAGTAAAAGGACACTTTCTTTCCCTACTTACAACCTCATGGGTGGGACGTAGGAAGCCTTCCTCCCTGTCTTCTGCAGGCTTCCTCCAGGCTTTTTCCATTCTAGTCCTACTCTGACCTTTCAGGTTTCCTAGACCTAGAGCTTCTGAAAAGAAAGGACCCCACTATTGCTGTGTTCCTACTGTCTAGAGCTGCCCAGGTCCAATGTGGGTTGCCAGAGGTGGCAATGCCAGCTATCATTCTGTGGGGGCAGGGAAGCCATGCTCTTCCTCTTCCAAATGTGAGATACTGCCAGAGGGCCTGGGGAGCCCTTAGGAGAGTGTAAAAGGGCTAGAACATTATAAAATCCCGATCCTGAGTCTTGGGACTAAATTTTGAGATTGAGTTGAAAGCAGGGAGAAAACCTGAAGGTTGGTGCCCCTATGGGGCAGATCAGCAGATAAGTCTCTGAAATGTATTTTTTTACCTGGTCTTCCCTCTCTGGCCTTTATGACCTTGGTGCCAAGTGAGGTGCCTGGATCCCTGTTACAAGTCAGGAGCCCTGTAGGGAGACGCCATTCTTTTGTACAAATATCTGAATATTGCAGTGAGCAGACTTTTGTACATTTTTATATTAGTTTTTAATGTCAGTGGAGACTCGGTTCCTTGAGCTACAGCTGGTTCAGGACTTTTGTAAGAATTTTTGAGTGACTCACTTAGATGTTCCTTCTTGCCCCCCCTTCCTTTGTGTAATCTAAGTGCATTAAACATATCTGCAGAAGTGCTTGGGTCATGTGTTTCTTTCTGGTATACTATTTTTTTTTTTTTTTAATGATACTGGGATCAAACCTGTGGCCTTCCAAATGCTAGGCACTAGGGCAAATACTCTATCACTAATCTATATCTCTAGCCCTATCCTGCTTCTATCCGGATGTCTGAAGTAGAGAAGAAGATTGATTCCCTGGCAGCTACTTAGGCTTAGACATAGGATGGGGAAGGCCCTGAAGAGAGTGCCAGGGTGCCAAGGTATAAATTCATGCAGGAATGACTGCCTGAAAGGACAGCTAGGTGTTCTGCTTTGTTTTGTTTTATGCTGTAGATAGAACTCGTGCTTGTATGTGCTAAGCAAGTGTTCTACCACTAAGATTACCCACACCCAACCCCCATCCCTCCTTTCAGAGGTCTTATTTACTTTCAGGTCAAGGTGTGTGGGGCTGGTGCCAGGAACATAGTCTGAGGCAGTGGGACAGTGGGTAGGTGGAACCTTCTCTCTGCTACTTCATAACTTTCTCTCTCTCTCTCTCTCTCTCTCTCTCTCTCTCTCTCTCTCTCTCTCTTTTTGGTTTTTGTTTGGTTTTTTGAGACAGGGTCTCATTATGTATCCCTTGCTGGCCTGGAACTCACTATACAGACCAAGCTAGCCTCAAACTCACGGAGATACACCTGCCTCTGGGATTGAAGGCATATGCTACCAGCCCAGCATAGGTTTTTTGTTGCTGGTAGTGGTAGGTGGTTGTTTTTTGTTTTTTGTTTTTTTTTATTGTTGTTTGTTTGAGACAGGGTCTCACTGTGTAGCTAGGCTGGCCTCAAAATCACTATCTTTCTGCTTCGCCGTCCCAAGTGCTGAAATTATAGGCTTGCACAAGCATACCCCTAGCTATTCCTTCCTCTTCTCCCTGCCTCTCACCAGGAGCACTCCAAGGGTGACAAGGTGGGCCTTTCTCACCTCCAGTTTGGGAGTCTTTGTTCCCTCTTTTAGCTAGCCATTCTCCTTACTAGGCATCTAAAATTTGACCTCCTCATCAAGGGCTTGGGCTGGACTCAGATCCAGAAAGAGATTTCAGAACTAGATGACCCACTGAGTATCACAGGCCAGTTCACCCTTCTAGTAACTCCTTTGGGCCCAGGCTGTTAGAGGTAGGATGGGTGTACCATCTTTCCTTGGGCTGCCCAGTGGCTCCTGCCTCTTGAAGGTCCCATATCAATAAAATACAATGCCAGGGGATGGGGGATGGGGAGAGGCAGAGAAGGCTGCAACCTAGGGTTGGCAGTATCAACACCCACCCAGGGTTTGTGGAACCTGTGGGACAACCTGGAGCCTTCCACATTCTTTCCCTTCTAGATCTAGTTTTCTGTCCCAGCAAGTGGCAAGCCCTTTCCTCTTAGTCTTCCGAAGGGGCTAGCCGCACCCTGGGGATTCTGCCAGGGCTGGTGACAGGTCCTGAGACATCACAAGGCAAGGGGAGGGGTGTCAGCTCCTGTAGAGGGGCTTTTTTTTTTTTTTTGTATTTTTGAGACAGAGTTTCCCTGTAGACCCAGCTGGTCAGGAACTCACTACGTAGACCAGGCTAGTCTCAACTCACAGAGATCCCCGACGCCTGCCTCTGCTTACCAAGTGCTGGGATTAAAGGCATATGCTACCATGCAGAGCTCAGAGAAAGGCCCTTAAGCCCCCCTCTCCATCTTTTATGACTCCTAGCTGCCTGCGGACCTTCCCTGGACCCTTTGACCTCCTGCTGAACTTTAGGAAGGGGCTGGCCTCCGAGCAATGAAGAAGGTCCAGCCTGGGCCCTTGGTCCCTCCTTGGTCCCTCTAGTGTCCAGAGCAAAGGAGGAAGTGGGAGCATCTGAAGCCAGGTTGACAGCCCTGGGGTATTCCAGTCCATACGGCATACCCTTAACTCACCCTCCTCTTCTGACTCTGACCTAGAGAGCCCTAGGAATCAGAGTGAAATTCTTGCCCCAGAGAATGCAGAATAGGGTGATCCAGTGCCTGTGTGGTTCTGGGAGACAGTACAGGTTTCAGCTGTCTGGAAAGAAAAGGACTTTCTAGAGACCTGGTCTCTAAAGCAGAAAGTGTTTTTACACATAGAAAAGTCATCTGCCATGGAATCTTTTATGTCTCCTTTAGGAAAGCCTGGAAATTACCCTGGGCATTTACTCTGCCTCCTCTGCAGGTCTGGGGTCCTTGGGCCGGGGTGGGGGGTCACAGCTCCCGTACCATGGGGCTGAGGAGCAATTTGCCAAACTGGCCTAACCACAGGGAATGCAAGCTGAAAGTGATTGTCCAGCTTCTGAAGCATTGAGGCTGCTGCAAGTGCTGAGAGAGGTGAGAATGGGAGGCCGGGGTGGAGGGGTGGAGTGAGGGTGTGATTTGCTTGGTGGAATGGAAGAGATGGGTTCCCAGCCTGAAGAAGCAGGTCAAGATGTGGTTTGGGATGGGGAGCCCTTCTGAGGCTGCATGGTGGTTCTCTCATGACTCAAGAAGTCTGGGGGAGGCTGGCAAGATGGCTCAAAGAGTAAAAGCACTTGCCTCCAAACCTGATGATCTGAGTCTGATGCCCAGAACCCACACAGTAGAATAGAAGGAGAGAACCAACTCCCTGCAAGTTATCCTCTGATCTCCACATGTGTACTGTGCATACACACACACACACACACACACACACACACACACACACAAAAATAAGTGAATATAATAAGCTTTTTTTAAAAAAGTGGTTTTTAAAAATATTATTTTTATTTTATGTGTATGCATGTATTGCCTGCATGTAGGTAAGTGTACCCATATCGTGCAATGCTCGTGGAGGACAAAAGAGACTGTTGGATCCCCTGAAACTGGAGTTACATACAGCTGTTAGTTACCAGGTGGGTGCTGGGATTCGAACCTGGGTCTTCTGCAAGAACAACCAGTGTTCTTAACTACGGAGCCACCTCTCCAGCCCGAATATAATAAGCTTTTTAAAATTAGAAGCCGGGCATGGTGGTGCACACCTGAAATCCCAGCACTCCAGAGGTAGAGGCAGGCGGATCTCTGTAAGTTCAAGGCCAGCCTGGTTCCAGGACAGCTGGGGCTACAGGGAGACCCTGTCTCAAAAAGACCAAAAAAAATAAAATAAAATAAATAAATAAATTAGCACTGGGACTGGAGAGATAGCTCAGCAATTAAGAGCACTGGCTACTCTTGCAGAGGACCAGGTTCAATTCCCAGCACCCACATGGCAGCTAACAACCATCCATAACTCAGCACATTTCACAGCAGTGTGATTAGACAGGTCAACTAGTCTGTGCCTCAATGTCTTCATCTGCAATAGATATTTCTATTGTTTTTGTAAGGATTATGAGAGACAGAACACCAAGGAGGATATCTGATTGCATTCAATTCAATGTCCTTTTAGGTGTCTAGCCCAGTCTGGGGAAGATTTGAAAAGGCTTTCTGGTCATGCGTGGTGGTACATGCCTTTAGTCTTAGCACTAAGAAGGTAGAGGCAAGCAGATCTCTGTGAAGTAGAGGCCAGCCTGGTCTACATAGGGAGTTCCTTTGCCAGGCATTGTAGCCAGGGCTACATAGTAAGATCCTGTCTCAAAAAACAAAAAAACGGGCTGGTGAGATGGCTCAGCAGTTAAGAACACTGGTTGTTCTTGCAGAAGACCCGGGTTTGAATCCCAGCATCCACATGGCAGCTAACAACTGTCTGTAACTCCAGTCCCAGGGGATCCGACAGCTTCTTCTGACATCTGCAGACATTGCATGACATGGGTGCATTTACCTACGTGCAGGCAATACATGCATACACATAAAATAAAAAATTAATAAATAAAATTAAGAAAAAAAAAGGCAGGAAGATCAGAAATTAAACAGCAACCTGAGCTACATAAGACTCATTCTCAAAAAAACAAAACAAAAACAGAGGGGGCTTTACTTTGAAGACCTTACTAGGTTGACAAAAAACTCTTTGGGGGTAGTTTTAGCATTCTCCTGCCCTAGACATCTGGTTTAAGGCCTCAAGCTCCCATTTTAGGATTGTACCCATTTGGTGGATGGGGAATGTTTTAAAAGGGAGAAAGAATGGAGGCAGGTCAAGCCTGAATCAGGCAGAAGCAGCAGAAATGGAATCAATGAGATTCATTCGCTGATTCAACATATACCTCCTGAACATCTACAGTGCCAAGCAGGTCCTATCCTAGGCATCACAAACAACGTATTAAAGGGGCCAGCTGAGAAGACTCAGAAGGAAAAGGTGCCAAATACCAATCCTGACAACTTGAATCTGATCTCCAGAAACCCATATGGTGAAAGGAGAGAACAGATTCCCAAAAGTTGTCCTCTGACTTCCATCTGTGTGCTGTGGCATAGGCGTGCCCTGTCCACCAAATAAATCAATGTAAAAATGCCTCCAAAACTGTAAATGAAGCATTTAAAAAAGGATACAGTATTAAAGAAAATCCAGCCTTTCACATATCTCACATTTTAATGATGACAGATGAGAAAGCTGATATTTATTTATTTGATACTGTGAATTAAGCCTAGGGCTTCACACATGCTAAGCAAGTGCTCTACCACTGAGCTATATCCCCAGACCTCTATTAGTATATGTACATACATTTGTTTTTCCGAGACAGGGTCTCAATGTGTAGCACTGACTGACCTGGAACTCTATATAGACCAGGCTGGCCTCAAACTCACAAAGAACCTGCCTCTGCCCCCTGAGTGCTGGGTATTCCCAGCCAATATTTTTTTAGGCTGGGTGCAGTGGTGCATGCCAGCAATTCCAGCACTTGGGAGGTGAAGATAGGATGATCAAGAGTTTCAGGCCAGTCTTGGATATATAGGAAGTCCAAGGTCATCTTGGCTACATGAGACCCTGCCTCAAACAAGCAAGCAAACAAATATATAGTACTTGGTGATACATGCTGTGAAGAAAATTAGAGAAAGTGAGGACCGAGAGAGATGCATTTCTAAATAGGTCAGGAAAGGACTATCTGCATAGGTGACACTTGAACA